AATATAGTAGTGAGTGCTTGGCTTGTCTTTAATGTATATAATTTGAAGCTGTCAGTGTGTTACATGTTTGACAGTAAAAAAAAGAAGCAATTCCGACCACGCGGTTTTTCTCCGGATACTCCATCTTCCTACCACATTAGGAATTAAATCCTCTGCGTGCTTTCGTCAAGGCACAAAAAGAATGATTGAGATAAGTTGGGGAAAACATTACATAATTGCTATAGTAAAAAAGTGCATTATACATATTTGACAATGAGTCTAAATACATGTATAGAGATGATAGTTAAAAGACAACAAAAAGCAACAACATTGTGATACTTTATGTTACTGAGATTGTCGTTATATTGATATGTCACACCGGATTGAAATTCCAAGTTTGTAACTGTCACCAAATTTTGACAGGTAATGATGCCAAATAAAATCAAACATCGGCACGCGTTGTGAAAAAAATAAAAACATGGTGATGCATACATAAATTATGTAAAGACTATAAGCAGTCTTTCAAAAATGTTAATAATTTCGTTCATATTCTCAAAAAAATGGAAATCAAAAGCTGATGAAATTTTAGACGATGAAAAAAAAGGTACACGTTGACCTATTAGTTTAAGGCGGCTCTTTTTGAAGATATCTCCAGGTAGAAATATTAACAGAACCTGGTTGATGACAGAAAGGATCTTCAGAAAACATCCGCTTTTTTACGTTTTGTGCATGTGGCAAAAACTTAAATAAAAAAGTCATGAAGTACCGACAAAGAGATTAATCAAATTTGAGGTTGGGATGTTACAGAACTTTAGCCCGAGACTGAGATAACCCGATCTGGCTCAGTTACAGGTAAAAAACAAAATCTCGCACCTTTTAGTTCGATAATCACTATTCAATTTTGCTAAAAACTACAAGTATTCCACCTTGGGCCTCAACTGATAATGTCCTCTTCACTGCTTAAGCTACATTTGAATGCTTCCTCGTAAAAATGTAGTCCGTCCTTACATAGATTATAAAATATTTTACAATGTTGATTATATTTTATCTACAACATCAAAACTATACATATAACAACAAATAGAACATGTATAATACCAATTGTCAATTTCAAGCAGTTAACGCGCAGATAAATACATCGCAGTGTAAAAATTCCGCGAAATGTCACGTAAGGGTACAAGACAGATCGGACGAGATAGAAAAATCTAGCATGGGTTATGACATGGGATATCTCTATTTGAGTGGCGAGAAAAATGCATCAGTTCCAAAAAAATCCGGTTATTTTTCATCCTTCCGGAAATAACCGATGAAGGCAGATGGAGTGTGACGTGCTTGTGACGTCATAGTAAGTTAATCTCTGGACGATGTTTCCTTGCTGCTAGTATCACAATTTATGTGATAATTTTTTTCACTCAGAATGTACATGTATGCTAGTTTTTATCTACATAAACAAGTAATAAAACATGAGGATTGTTTTCACTATATGAAGATGTTCATGTATGGGTTGAAACACAATGGTCTTTGTTTCAAGGATACACTTCCGGTTTCCCCACTGGACGTCTATTTCCGGACGAAAAAAAATATTGAAAGCAATGTGTAACAAGGGGAAGCAACTCTGTATACGCACGCATGTGTTATCATTAAAGAGCTTCGGCGCCCGAGATGTACGCTCTTATAAGAGAACTTTTTAAGATATAGAAGCATGTCTATAGATATACATGTGTATCAACATATACAATTTGTTTTCGATATATATTTAAAAAATGTTTATAATAAGTAGTCAATAATCCCTTACAGAAGCAGTTAATATTACTGCAAGAATCAACCAAATACATTACACACACTATCCAAACACTGTCGTTATATCGGTAAAACCAGGGTAATTCCTGGCGGCACCATCGTGTCTAGTCCATTACCGATCACTTTGCACTAAATATACATTTTGACACAACGTTGGAATCTTCCATAAGAAAACTGTCTGCGAGTGGTGTGCCAAACTGGAGCCTTCTCTTTCTACCATCATTCAGTATAGCGAAAAGCTTACCGTTCGTACTAAATGAGTTCTTCACACACTGAAGTTTATACGCGTCCTTGAGGATCTGCTGGTTGATCTTCGTGAGATCCTCGAAAAAAGTATATCCAGTGTTCTTCAATTTTGAGCGTGTTTTGATGACCTCGTTCCTTTTTCGTCGATGCGTAAACTTGACGATGATGTTTCTAGGTCTTTCCCGGTTAAACGTTCCAAGACGAGAGGAGCATTTATACTACAGCGTCAACGCATACAAAAACGCTCTATATGAAGCTAGTACGGACCTTATCAATAACCCAGTTAAAACTTGTCAAAACTCACCCTGACAAATTACCGTATGTTTTAATTGGCAAAATATGTATTGGCAAAATAGTTGACATCTAATGTTTGATTTACAGGTTGTCTCATTGGTTCCAGATATAGTTGAATCCATATGTGATTGACACCATATGGTATTGACAGCATATGTAATTAACAAGATGTCTCACTAATTGCATGTATGATTGACACCATTTCTTATGTACATATATCTTTTGACACCATGTCGAACAACATATCTAGACAACATGTATCAACGATAATATTATATAGATATGACATTCATTAGCAGGTGACAGCGAATATTGTCAACACGAGAAAATCATTGTCACCCGAGGCGAAGCCGAGGGGGACAATGGGTTTTTGAGAGTTGACAATATTCACTGTCGCCTGCTAATGAATGTCATATCTATTTTGTTACACCAAAAGTCTTTGTAGCTCAGAAACAGCAGCAAACCTCGATAATGACATCTTGTTTGTTGATAGTCTGCTGTTTACAATGGCTATTGCCAAGGCTCGCAAAAATAAAAACTCCAAATACTCGTTTCATAAAATCTCATTTTAAATGAAAACTCATGTAAGATCCTACATATAATCTGAGTTACATCATAACTGGCTGACAAAACGATTCACTGATTACATAGGCTATTGACAACATATCTTTTTGAGAATAAAAGATGTCTAAGGAACCTCATTTATATGTCCCAGTTTTGTACGTTTGAAAGAGTAACTGTTTCCCACAATCTTTTTAATGTTATTACCTTACTGTTTGTTCGTAATCATACTATTCTTTGTTTTATTTATTTTTTGATTTTTTTCCCGTAAGCTTGTATTCATTGCTTACAAATAAAAGTAAATGGAGCTGTTTTTACTAACGTTTTTATTACAGCATCAACGCAATCGAAAAACATTAGCTCAGTTGGCAGTATACATATGTCGGTAGCAAGTCGTACCCAATAGATTCCAGTTAAAATGGGTCAAATAATAATCCTAAAAAAAATGACACGTGATCATATATTTACAGACCCTTGACCGTTTCACACTACCGTGAATGCGTTGTATTTGCATTTTAAGGGTCAATGTAAACAGTCAAGTGTCTTCCTTCATTATTCACGAATGTGGAAAATAGGTGGTATTTTTGACAATGTCGATTCATACACCTCTTGTAGAAAAACGTAGCAGTGTACTTTATTGGACAACAGCCTGTATGTAGAAAAAAAAGTGATAACTAGAACAGAATACCAATTATATGTTGAACAAGATATACATTTACGATATATTTTACGTATTCATCACTGTCGTTACAGGTTGGTTAGTGGACGTGACAGGTTCCTATCATACATCCTACTACAGTGTTTCAGCTGCTCATGGTCTGGCTGTTGGCTTGTTCATTCTCGCGGCGATATTACGAAAATGTAATCGCAGTCAAACCTACCGCATTGGTAGATGAGGAATTTTATGTGATCTGAAAATGTCTTCGATGTGTAAAAAAAACGGCATTGGTAAGTGATATAGTTTATGCAATGTGAAATCTGCTTCAATGTGTAAGATCTATAACTACATTTGTAGGGATATATTTTGCGTATTGTGAAATCTGCTTCAATGTGTAAGATCTATAACTGCATTTGTAGGGATATATTTTGCGTATTGTGAAATCTGCTTCAATGAGAAAGATTTATAACTACTTTTGTAGTGATATATTTTGTGTATTGTGAAATCTGCGTCAATGTGTAAGATCTATAACTGCATTTGTAGGGATATATTTTGCGTATTGTGAAATCTGCTTCAATGAGAAAGATTTATAACTACTTTTGTAGTGATATATTTTGTGTATTGTGAAATCTGCGTCAATGTGTAAGATCTATAACTACATTTGTAGGGAGATATTTTGTATATTGTGAAATATGCTTCAATGTGTAGGAAATACAACAACATTGGTAGGTGGGGTACTATATGTAATGTGAAAGTGGGCCTAAATTGTAAGAACTCACTCTGGCGGAAAAACGACATAATGATATATGCTTATAAAAAATATAGCTATAGAATTTTTTTCATTACTGTACAACTGTTGGCATTGTAGATCATATGTAAATGTACAGTTTAATTTAAATGATTTTTAAATCAATCGCTGCTTTTTGGGGTTTATTTGGGGCATTATAAGTGCATTGCTAATTTATGCGATTGATATAAATTTGTGTAGCGTCTTTTCGCATGTAAGAATGAAATACATGTACTTTACACATAAACTGTTTCCTGTGATGTGTAAATCCTTATGCATTGTGACTTTTTATATCTGAAAGCGTATATCGTGATTAAACATAAAATTATTAAATTTGAGTTACCTGATCTACACATATTTTACCTTAGGGGCATTTCAACATGAAAGGGAAATGATATTGGATCAAGGCTTTTACTGTAGGCACTTTGTTATTATACTTTCATAATTTCAACATCTGTATATGCAAAGGCTGGGACACGCATTTTGACAAAACTCCTGAAATACTGTAACCGCTGTTTGAAACACATAAATGTATATGTATCACAATACGTTTTCCCCTTTTTCTGAATCAGTGCCACGAATTTAAATCACAGCGTAACATGTATAATCAACATATATATGGTAGTTATCAGTTAACACGGATTACCGACATGTTATAAGGTCGTCTACAGGATCTCATTTGGATATTTTTTATTTCCTTGTACCATATTAATATCCCTCTTTGACAACATGGCATATGGATTTGACCCAGATTGAGATACGGATGCCGTATTTGTTCCTAGTTTCATCTATCTTTGAATTTCATGGACATTTTTCAATATGAAATGCATTTTAATGGGAAGACGAAAGACTGAAAATTTGAAACGTGTACTTATCAAACAAAATCCTGTCCCATACAACAGTAGCATCTATGTACTCTCTCAATCACTTTATATTGCTCTATTCAGACATACATTAATACCACATTCACTTATAAAACGTAAAATAACAACAACAAACTCTCACAATATACCTTAATAGAGTTAAAAAAATGAACGGGAGAACACTTTATATTATGTCGTTGGATATTGTCAGATATTGTGAGCACATCTTGGATTGCAGAATATTAGTAAAAAGGATTGTTAAGGAAATGAGTATGCGTTTAATACTTCATGTAATGTTAACGTTAGTTTTGTAATACGATGACAGACGTTCGCAGTGACTGTTTACATAAGCGACAGATATTGAGATGAGGTATATCTTACTACTGATATTGTCTGTTGTCCTTATAAAACAAAGAAAAAAAGATAAATACACGGGATATAAATTATAATAAACAATAGAAACTATCAGGAAAAGAATACAGGCACGTAAATGGATATTTTAGTGCTATTTTAAAGAGACAGTGAGAGCAAACAAGGCAGCAAGTTAGATGGATTTGAAAGTACTTATAAAACGTAGGATTGGTGATATAAACGATGTGCAACAGGCATTTGCTTTGAATAGAAAAAACAAACAAACATAATCTGAGAGTGTACAGATATTTTTGAAAGGTTACTTCAATTGGCAGAGAATGCTTATCCGCAGGCCAATAATGGAAATCAAAATATAATCCAACAACAGCTTGAGAACTCGTTCTTTGATGGGTTAAGAATTGATTGTCTTAAAACGAAAGTTTTGAGGAGGAACCAACAACATTAGAACCGGCGGTACAGATAGCAATGACGCAACAAAGTATTTGGAAGAGACTAGGACCCATGCGACCTCTGAGGACCTGTTATCATTGTTAACTAGGACCCATGCGACCTCTGATGACTTGTTATCATTGTTAACTAGGACCCATGCGACCTCTGAGGACCTGTTATCATTGTTAACTAGGACCCATGCGACCTCAGAGGACCTGTTATCATTGCGGTAAACAGAGACATCTCGCTCGGAAATGTAGGGGAGCTATGAGGGGGAAAACAGATGTCCGCCATACAATCTCACCCCACAACTGGTGCCGTATGTTGGTACTGTAACAAAATATATAGATGAAACTATCCCCCTTTGCAATCTTTAAACTAAAACACCCCTCCAACAAGGAAGCCGGTGAAAGGAGTTGACGAACACACATAACGTCCGTACACAAAAACAAAAATGTCGTAGTCTTGTTGACTTTTGGACAGAGGTTAGTTTCATAAAAGAAAGCTTATTTAACAAACTACCCGCGAAACCTAAACTCATTAAAAAAAAACCACTTAGAGGCCGTAAACGAAAATGATCTCTCCGTATAAGATTGTACTGAGATAACATTTCAGATGAAAGGTCAAATATAGACAAAGAAATGTGTTGTTGGCAATGGCATGGACAGGAAATGAACTAAAGGGAGAAATTGGCTTCACCAAAATTTGTTTTAGAATATGTTTAGTTAAGTTGTCTTAAGGTGGGCAAACGTATGTGTCGCTAGACGAAGACATAAACCTGTAAGTCTCATGAAGACTAAATAATAAAGTAGTTGTTATGTCTTATAAAGGCTCGCAGTAGCCCAAACAGCTGAACCTTTGATCACACTTACAACAAAGTTTGCAAGGTTTTACTGGACGGTCGAATGTCAAAAAGGGGTTTGATTTCATTAAGGAAAGCTTGGCCGTGGTACCAGTACTGGCCTACCCGGATACCAATAAACCTTACACCTTTTACACCTATGTCAGTGATACCTGTATTGGAGCATGTCTTACTTAGATGACAGAAGATGATGTAGAAATGCCCTGTCATTATCTGTAATATCAGTCATAAACAAATAAAAAGGTCTGTTATAAAAAAGAAAGCATTTGCAATCCAATATTCATTGCTAATATAAGATCAATATATAATGCCAATGGTATCATTAAGACAAATCGCACACCCTTAAAATAATTTTATGTTACAAATGTAGGATGGAGTATATAGATGGAAAACATAATTTCTGTCCAGATTTGTTGTTACGCATACTTGAAGGGAACACTATAGTAAACAAAGAAGAAACTGAAGTCGAGGAACCCGATATACAGAATGTATATAAGTGTTAATCTTCAGAAAAACGGTTTCAACAAAAACATAAGAGGTAAAGAAAAAAACAAGGGAGAAGAAAAAGGGGTAATTGTGGGTTATTTCATGTTCATATGTTGTCGATATCGAGTTGAGGGATATGTTACTACTGATATTCTCTGTTTTCTTGAAAAAATTGAATGAAATAATCACAACTCGTGCTAAATGGCTAATGACTTTTGTTCTAGATTTAAACCCTTATAATGACTTACTTAGTAAGTTAATCATTAGTCTAACTCAGGTAGATCAAGATATAGGTACCATTTACGTACTCAGAAACTCTAGGATGTAATTGAATTGTTCCTTTGTCCGGCTACAGTTTTAATTCATGCTCAAAAGCGTAAATATAGTTCCAACTTGAATCACATTACAATGGTAAATCGGCATTAAACTGCTGTCAAGAAAATGTCAATGTTTTATACAATGTAGCACACCATTAAAACGCTAATCCTATACCAGGTCAGAAGTCTGGATATCAATTTCAATGTGTATCTATTGTCTATGTTATATACAATGTAGCACACCATTGAAACGCTAATCCTATAGCAGGTTAGAAGTCTGGATATCAATTTCCATGTGTATCTATTGTCTATGTTATATATAATGTAGCACACCATTAAAACGTTAATCCTATAGCAGGTTAGAAGTCTGGATATCAATTTCAATGTGTATCTATTGTCTATGTTATATACAATGTAGCACACCATTGAAACGCTAATCCTATAGCAGGTCAGAAGTCTGGATATCAATTTCAATGTGTATCTATTGTCTATGTTAACGGTTTGCTGACCTCGCTTCTTTCTCTTTCTTACGGTGTTTCTTATAAACCATGGCACCAATTCCAAGGGCCGCTACTCCACCTAATGTCGCACTCGTTTTCAAAGCAGTATCAGCCTGGAACATAGGATACATGGTGTATGACGCGATATATTATATCAAAACTGTTTGGAATGTACATCCATGTCTAAATATTGTAAATCATCTAAGTAAAAATTAAATGTGGAGAAAGGCATCACGGCAAAAGTTACTGTAGTGCCTATACACAGTCATGATAGAACAACTTCCTCTTCGCGATATGCTTCACCGGTTGTTCACGTTGCACTGGTTGCAGTGATAATGTTCAACTGTAGTCAGAATGATACCACAGTAAAACTGTATCTCATCTGTACTCCGAATATTACCAAATACAGTATTAATGTACCTCAACTGTAGTCAGAATGCTATGTTATTATATACAGAAATAATGTACCTAAACTGAATTCAGAATGCTAATACAGTAAAAATGTATATAATCTGTACTCAGAACGTTATTATATACAGTAATAATGTACCTCAACTGTAGTCAGAATGCTACTACAGTAAAAATGAATATCATCTGTACTCAGAACGTTATTATAATAAGAACAGTAATAATGTAACCCATCGGTAGTCAGAATGTTGCTAAATACTTTAAGTAATATTGTACCTCATCTGTACTTAGAAATGTTACTAAATACTTACAGTAACAATGCATTTCATCTGTTGTCAGAATGCTACTAAATACTTCCAGTAACTATGTACCCATCTGTAATCATAATGTTACTATATACTTACAGTAATACTTACCTAATTTGCAGTCAGAATGTTACTCAATACAGTAATAATGTACTTCATATGTCCACAGAATGATACTTATAGTAAAAATGTATATCATATGTACTCAGAACTTTACTATAATACTAACAGGATGTTACTAAATACTTACAGTAATAATACATCTCATCTGTTGTCAGAATGCTACTTACTACTTGCAGTAACTATGTACCCCATCTGTCCTCAGAAACATGTTACTAAATACTTACAGTAATAATGTCTCCGATATGTAGTCTGAACACTGCTTAACACTTAGAAATAACCCTACGTTATGGACATGACATGTATATTATAAATAATGCACGTGTTCTTTCATCCTAATACATCTAAGTAGTCAATTGTTCTTAGTCAGAACATTGTGTAATACCTTAAAATGGCTATTTTGTAGACATAGCACTATCTAAATCCTAATGACGTACCTACCGCTGTACTCCGTAGTCCTGTAGTCACTACATGTATATACCGTATTATAGATTCTTTTGACCTGATACCCATTTACCTGCTTTGATTGCTTTTTGTTGTATCTTAGGAAGGATGCAAAGTGTTCACAGTTATTCCACAGGACATTGTAGCCGATTTCTCCAACCATTTCGTAGGCTCTCCTGACAATATCATCTGCTTGTAGTGGCCTAATGAAACAAAACGATACTACTATAAAAAGATAATTAATTGTAAGTATATAATAAATCTATATGTGAAATGTATTATGTGTATGTACTGTAATATTCTACGTTTCCATATAGATTCGTACGCTCCTTTATCTTGTATTAGGTAAACCCAAAAAATTATTTAATACAAAAATATAAATTACGTATTAGGTATGGATAGAAATAGTTATTTTTGTTTGCTGTGCTGTGGTTTATCTTTATTATCATATATATACTACTGTATACCACCTACCGGTAGCATGATGTATTCATTTTCATTGGTTATCAGTATGAGAAGAAGTTGAGAACGACTTGAGAAGAACTTGAGAAGAACTTAAAAACGGATTTTCCCATTCCCCAAAAAGAACGTCTGCTCGCGCCAGATGACGTCCGAAACCGGACATAGTGTCTACACAAAAGTGATCCGCGTAAGACAATAGTCCATCAAATACATATCAATACAAAGTTATGGGGAAATATTGTGAGAATAACAACACCATTGCATGTGTAAATGTGAGAATGGAAAAGCAAATGATGATAGGATTGTTTTAAAAATATATCTTTTTCTACGTAGTTTTAATGTCCATTGTATTCCTCCACGCAAATTTTTTATTCGTTAACGTTTGTTACAGGCGGTCGTTGACCATTGAGCTTAGAATTCATTTGGAAAACATGGTGTTTAGTTTAGTTTTATAAATGGAGCAATATATAAGGTAGTAGTATATTGATGATAAATAGTTTATCATACAGTATTTTCAGTGTTTGTCGTTCGAACTATTTTCTCATCGCTGGCACCCTGAAAATACATTGTGATTATCTATAACTATAATATGAATTTCGTCACATTTTGGTAACGGTTCTTCATGTACGTGATATTTAGATTAGCGAGGTTTACGCACAAGTTATTTTCTTTTCGTCATGGTTCATCGAGATAATATAACACGTAATCAACTATTAACAGCACTTGATCAACTGTATTCAAACAGCTTTTCTTTTTCATTATACCAAAGTTTCCTACGCATACGTATATATTTCGATGAATATTTATATATAATTGTGAACATTTTAAACCTTATTCACAACTTTCTCATTACTCGCATCAAACATGCGCCTTGTAAGCCATTTACATATGATAAAAAAATGAGATGCTGTTTAAAAATGTTCCCGTTAACACATGTTGCTTTTGTTGCTATCATTTAGTGTAAATGTTACGAATCGTATTTGCTAGTTCTTTCCAGATTTCATACCTTTCTTTGTCCATCATTCCATCCATACTTTATAGAAACAAGGAAAAGCACACGAAGTTAGACGACATCCTAACCGGTAGATTCTGCCTGTGTAAACATATTGTATACATATCTATGCGAGTATCATAATGACTTTTGGCCGGTGTATGCGTGCAAGGGGTATATTTTTGGGCAATCACACATCGTTTTATGAATGAAACATAAATGATAAGAATTAAGATATGTGTTGAACAATTGATTGAGTTTGAACGCCATTTCCATCACATTGTCCATATTGTCCTTTATTTTAAACAGGATAAAGGGACATCACAATTGAATTTTTTTTCAAACTAACCGTAACCTCAGTTTATGTATATCTATCGTGTACAAAGTTTGGAATCATATAATATTATCTATTGCAGTCGTAAGTTGTACATTTGTAACGTTATATTGTTCGAATAGACAGCTTGCCCTCTTTGCTGTACATATGTTTAGAGACACTTAAGACCAAAAATGAATATTTAAACATGCCTATAAACAGCCACTTAAAAAAAACTCCAAAATGTCGTCGACGTACGAGACTTTTTTTCTAATTTTCTTACATGTTTACTTTAAAGTCACCATGTACTGTTAAAAAGTCGCTGAAAATAAACTGTTTTGGTGGAAATGCTGCTAAATATCTTAACAGGTATATCATCCGAGGACAATACATCATTTTATATTTAAAGTTTTATTTGAACCTTTTTATGACCGTGTTCCGATTGGGTAGCGTACCAATTGTGGTAGCATGATGTAACAAATACAATTTTCAAATAGGTTGTTGATTTCTTGTTCATGTTATAGATACAGTACATACGTGGAATGGCGGTCCTTTTTGTTGTTTATTTTGGCTTTACATCCCATGGCAACCTGCCGAAAGTCATCAATCCTCACAAAGGCTTTGTTAAAACACATTCCACCAATGGAAAAGAGGCTGCCCGATGTGAAGGCGTCACTGCTGTCGGCATCGTCAGCTCCAGATAAATGTACAATTTTGTCATCACCTTAAATAAAAAATATTATGAGGGAATCATATACCTTCTTTCACATCCATTCGCCAACTTCTTAACTCCTTACCTACTGGCTAATTATCGTGTTCTCTCATAATTAGTGATAACCTTAGTTAAGCTTTGTAAAAACATGATAAATGTTGATTGGATTTCTTCATGTGGTTTAGAGAAAATGTTTCTTTTAACTTTGCTGAAATTCGCCAATAGTTCGTGTTGTTACAGGGAATGCCATACGATGACTTTCAAATAATTTGTTGTCATCATTTTGAAAAAAAAGTTAACCTCTGAAATATTGGCATTCTATGCAACATAGCCCCTCGTTTTTCTTTGCTTTTTTATTGCAGTTTCTGAGCGAAGAGGCTTTCGAATTTTTTTCAGAATACGAAGTAAATTGTAACAGAATTTCACGTCTAGATATCTAAACAAAATTTATATTTCGTTCCATCATAAAAAAACTAAAATCAGGTGCAAATAAAGATGATAAAAATAGCATGCAGTAATATATTATATTCCACAGTTAATACAAGAAAATACTTTGATGACATACAATGACAACATCCAGGATTTATCCGGATACGTTTAGGTTCGTTTAGATTGAAAAAGAGTGTTAAAAAATATATGCATCAATTTAAATAAACTCCTTCCGATTGACTAAGTTCTCAAAACAATATGTAGGAAGGACAGAATGGTTATGTTGTCATAAAGATAGACTTAAATAAAAGTTAAAAAAATCTTATTTCGTGTGTTCAGAGTTAATTTGATGATTATCCAGATTGCCCAAAATGGCTGTTATGTCGATGCAAGTTAATCCAGGTTAAGGTACCGTTTCCGAAACCCACCTGATAAACACTGAAAAACGTATCCAAAAATTCTTCTAACAAAGAGCATTCTGTGTCGAATATGACATCAACAAAGAAACATAAACTGTTATCATTGAGAAATGAACATTTAGGTATATAACAGACATTTGTATTGGTAGAGAAGACCACCATTGTCATACTGGTAGAGATGAACATCTTTGTCATATTTGTAAAGATGACCATCATTGTCATACTTAAAGAGATGACCATCATTGTCAAACTGGTAGAGATGACCACCAAAGAAACAAACTGTTATCACTGTGAAATGCAAAATTAGGTATAAAACAGAAATTTGTATTGAAATGACCATCATTGTCATACTGGTAGAGATGAACATCTTTGTCATATTTGTAAAGATGACCATCATTGTCATACTTAAAGAGATGACCATCATTGTCAAACTGGTAGAGATGACCACCAAAGAAACAAACTGTTATCACTGAGAAATGCAAATTTAGGTATATAACAGAAATTTGTATTGAAATGACCATCATTGTCATACTGGTAGAGATGATGTCAATGTCATACTATTAGCGATGACGTCATTGTTAAACTATAAGAGATGACCATCATTGCCATACTGATAGAGGTGACCATCATTGTAATACTGGTAGAGATGAATAGCATAGGCATACAGGTAGATATGACCATCGTTGTTATACTGGTAGATATGAACATCTTTATCATACTTGAAGAGATGAATATAATAGTCATACTGGTAGAGATGACCATCATTGTCATACTGGTAGAGATTATCATAATTGTCATACTGTTAGAAATTATCATATTGTCATACTGATAGAGATGACCATCATTGGCATACTGGTAGAGATGACCATCATTGTCATACTGGTAGAGATGATCATCATTGACTTACTGGTAGAGATGACCATCATTGTCACACTGTTAGAGATTATCATATTGTCATACTGATAGAGATTATTATAATTGTGATACTGTTAGAGATTATCATATTGTCATACTGGTAGAGATGACCATCATTGTCATACTGGTAGAGATGACAATCATTGACATAGTGGTAGATATTATCATATTGTCATACTGGAAGAGATGACAATTATTGTCATATTGTTAGAGATTATCATATTGTCATACTGTTAGAGATTATCATAATTGTCATACTGTTAAAGATGACCATTATTGTCATATTGGTAGAGATGACCATCATTGTCATACTGGTAGAGATGACCATCATTGTCATACTGGTAGAGATGAACATCATTGTCACACTGTTAGATATTATTATATTGTCATACAGATAGAGATGACTATCATTGGCATACTGGATGAGATGACCATCATTGTCCTACTGGTAGAGATGATCATGATTGACTTACTGGTAGAGATGACCATCATTGTCACACTGTTAGATATTATAATATTGTCATACAGATAGAGATGACCATCATTGTCCTACTGGTAGTGATGATCATCATTGACTTACTGGTAGAAATTATCATATTGTCATACTGATAGAGATGACCATCATTGTCATACTGGTAGAGATTATCATAATTGTCATACTGTTAGAAATTATCATATTGTCATACTGATAGAGATGACCATCATTGACACACTGTTAGAGATTATCATATCGTCATACTGATAGAGATTACCATCATTGTCATACCGTTAGAGATTATCATATTGTCACACTGTTAGATATTATCATATTGTCATACTGGTAGAGATGACCATCATTGGCATACTGGTAGAGATGACCATCATTGTCATACTTGTAGAGATGACCATCATTGTTATACTGGTAGAGATTATCATATTATCATACCGGTAGAGATGACCATCATTGTCATACTGTTAGAGATTATCATAATTATCATACTGTAAGAGATTATCATATTGTCATACTGGTAGAGATGACCATCATTGTCATACTGGTAGAGAGGACCATCATTGACATAGTGGTAGATATTATCATATTGTCATACTGGTAGAGATTACCATCATTGTCATACGTGTAGAGATGACCATCATTGACATATTGGTAGATATTATCATATTGTCATACTGAGAGAGATGACCATCATTGCCATACTGGTAGAGATGACCATCATTGTCATACTGTTAGAGATTATCATATTGTCATACTGGTAGAGATTATTATAATTGTCATACTGTAAGAGATTATCATATTGTCATATTGGTAGAGATGACCATCATTGTCATACTGGTAGAGAGGACCATCATTGACATAGTGGTAGATATTATCATATTGTCATACTGGTGATCTCTACCATCATTGTCATACTGGTAGAGAGGACCATCATTGACATAGTGGTAGATATTATCATATTGTCATACTGGGAGAGATGACCATCATTGTCATACTGTTAGAGATTATCACAATTGTCATACTATTAGAGATTATCATATTGTCACACTGTTAGATATTATCATACTGGTAGAGATGAACACCATTGTCATACTGGTAGAGATTTTCATTATTGTCATACTGTTAGAGATTATCATAATTGTCATTCTGTTAGAGATTATCATATTGCCACACTGTTAGATATTATCATATTGTCATACTGATAGAGATGACCATCATTGTCATACTGGTAGAGATGACTTTCATTGTCATACTGTTAGAGATGACCATCATTGTCATACTGGTGGAGATGACCACCATCAAAACAATGAGTCAGACGTATACCTTTTAATGCTCACAAGCCATGTCAGGGAGTGTTGTCAAAGGGACATCACGTGAAGAGCCATTTTTTTAATGAATATATGTATTGTATGCACTTCCACTTATGGTACCTCGCTATCCCCATATTCATAGTCAGTTCCAAATGTCCAGTTTGACCACTTTGTTCGGGAAAGTCCTGCTAAAAATAGCGTCGATAACGTCACCTGACTAGGCAGGAAACGGTTTCCAAAGGGGCCCCCAGAGAGGGGCCGCCAGGCAACTGCAACTTCTTGCCGCACTATAAAACCAAGTAATATGAGTTCTAAGTCCGTATTCAAACTTATTGAACAGGAATTATTCATTATCAGAAGTTAATTGCACACTTGCCAATATTCAGAATTTAAATTTATTTAGCTTTAAACATAAATGTGTTGCCAATAAAATCAAACAAGGGTTGGGGCATAAGTTTTTACAATTTATCACAGCCTTATCCCGTCATACATTTACAATTAAATGTCAACAATGATAATAGGCATAAACATAAAGTAGATAAATATAAATATATATTGAATTTAGTAGCGGAATGCGACCGGTACAGGTGGTACGGGGCTAAACACCTTCCCTCAACAATGGGACAAACCTTTCTGTAAAAAAGGAATATTCACGAGACGAATATCCCTTTCAAATGTTTACATAAAGTGCATATATGCAATGACAAACTACACGCGAATAAAAAAGGAAACGTTTGTGAATTTATTTATTACATTTTACAACTCAATGTCTTTGGCCATTTATATTTTTAGACCATGCATATAAATGTATGTATACTCTCTTTCCCACTTTCACTGTCTCCATACGATAACACTTAGTAAGTCATATTAGCCATCACACACAATAAACTGTATGGCAAAACCACTACGTGTACATGTAGAATATGTGTCAATAAGGACACGTTATATCATCCTAGTGGGATAATTATATTTTTTCAATACTTTACAGAGATTAAAGCATACTTGTAAATAGACCTTTTTATGTTGAGACTTTTCTTTAATCAGTTCCTTTTGTCCGAAACAGAAGCCGTAGTTATCGGCAGCACGCGCCATTTTTACAACGTAATCAAATATTTTTTCCACTATTTTCAATACGTATTCCGATTCTATCTGAAGTCGAAAATTTATTCTTTATAGAGAAAAGGTTGTTACATGATCATACATTCTAAGTCAACATCATATGAAAACGTGAACTGTTGAAAAATTACGATTTAAAAAAAAAAAAAATGCGATCCTATTTACTAGAAGTAGGTTGGTTCTCCTTCCTCAGTTATTCATCCTGGTCCGTCATTTTGATATTTTTAATCTAGCTGCGATAACGTAGCTTTCTGACGAAGAGCGATTTTTTTTTTATATATTGCGTCGTCGCGCCAGAGGAGGCCGGGCATTCATATTATTACTAATTTAAATCTTGCATGTCAAAACAAAAAAAAATTCGTTTAATTCAGCAGTATAATTAAATCATACCATTTTACTGACCCCGGTAATATTATAAATTATGTAAATCTAAAAGCGCACGTATCTCATTTGACCCCGAGTACCGTCAGAGGATCAGAGAACAGAATACGCCGTGGCCATCACAACATGTACAGTTATATCCCTTGGATGGCCTCATGGCAAAATTATAAAAACACAAAGTAAACTCTCTCCGATACATGCCCATTAACATATTAAACTAAGTTCGTCTGTGTTCAAACTCACACAATGGTACTAGCGAGGTTAATAGTTTTAGATATTTATTCATAACATAAACAGCGCTAGCATTTCTGTCGATTTTATTTCAGCTAATTAACCGTTTATCCGGAAGAATACATGCACCGTACTAACTGCTAGGGCAGTTATTTTCTGCTTTGAATACTTCCCACTGGCAATAATGATTCCGTAACGTACCCCTTGCGCTATCTTTTGACCATTTGGCAACTGTTCGCTTCGTAGCTGACACGGTACAACACTTTTCTTTCGCTTACTTCACACGGCCAGTCATTTTGTTTACAAAGAAATGGTGTGCTATGCGCATGCGTTAGTAGAGAGAAATCCCGAAACAAAACGTTGGTCAGATAGGTAGAAATACCGATGATTATCTTAGATTTAATCATTTTTATGAATCTATATCAGCCAAATCCGATCGTTATTTTCCATAAGGAGTCTCACTTGATATGTTTATGTAGTATTTGAAAAAAATACACAAAAAAAACGTTACTTCAGCGTGATGCCCCTTTAATGTATACGTAGTGACCACAAATTACATTGAGATTTGTTACTTTAAAAGTTCATGAGTATAGCAAACATCCACAGCGTGCATGATAGTAAGATACGTATTAAAATGTGGTATCTAACACAAAATTGTGAGAGAAAAACCAAGTGTGAACAAGACCGATAAACTTTGGAATATTTACAGAAGATCCGGAAAAGTAATCGTTTTCTGCTTCATCAACGACACCAGCCATTCAAATTTAGGTAGAATTAAAGTAATGCCTTCTAAAAATGTGAGAACCGGGATACTGGAAATGAAGCATCAATAGACACTAATGGGCCTAATACAAACACTTTCATATCGCACATGGATTCACTTACCTATATAAACACCCCAGTGAGAATATAATGGACGTGGGAATTCCACCATATCCCCCTTGTCTAGGTCATCGAGGATTGTAGCATTGTGACGACTTAACTGTTCACCACCAGCCATATTACTTCAGATTATGAAAGAAACAAAATAATACAGCTAAATACACGGCTGTCACAAATTGATATATAGCCCGAACGTATCAAAAATATGTACACTCATGTTGTTTACTGTCAGTTAGCATAATGTATATTAGTCCGAATTATCCTGACGTTTTATCGACTTTTTTCATATCGGTCTGTCGTCGACTAACCGACGTCAGACCGATATGAAAAAAGTCGATAAACCGTCAGAATAATTCGGACTAAATGTATATATGGTTGACGTCAAGGTAACTATTGCCATACATGTGTTCTAACGTGTATATAACAACATGGATATGTATTCGGTTCATGAGCTGACAGTAGGTGAAGTGCACGTGTGATCGAGATTGAACAGAAACACACACACACATACGTTGGTGACCAGAACATTAATTTGTAATGTTAAGGTATGTGATACACTAGCATCAACCAAATCATTTAGCAAGGGAGTTCATGTGTAACGGCCGTTGTGTAAATGTCATGAGTGTCACATTGTACGGTGCCTGGCCTAATATACTGTATAACGCTGCCAGAAGAAGAGGCAAGTTCAATACAAGTTATGCAATAGGACAAATTCCAGAATCTCATCGTTTTTCCCCAATAAAAGGTTTCATTCGATGAGTGTCTTTTCATTTTTTAAATATCTGTTATGAATGCCTGACAAAGAAAGACACGTTATTATGCAGTGGACTACGGATGAAGTTTAAAAAGTTAATGTTCATTGTCGTTGGCTTATTATGTGACATTTCGGTACTTAAAAGAAATGTCTTCGAATATACAACACTATAAATAAACATTAATGTTTGTGGTGAAAATATCTGTTTATATGACGTTGCTTAAAAGATATAAACAGATTATTCTAATGAAATTTAAGCATTTTATAAGTTGGCGTTGGAAACGGTACACGTGCTGAGAGTTCAACGGGAGATAACTCGCAATTGTAATCACTTCATGTGTTACATGTATGCGCAGATTATTGATTACCAAGCCTATCCATATACTTTAGTTGACATAATTGTGAATTTTGTGCCGAATTTTGAACCGATTGGCATAGTTTTTCGCATCTGAATCCTGATTCGAGTTTTTTTACCCAACAAAATATATGTCAGTCTGCACTACATGTACAAGTGATAAGACGCGATGATTTCTAGACCAACCTTGAGCTGATCTGCCGAAAGGAAAATCCCTGACCCAATTTCATAATGAACATCAAACATAAAATAAAAGCTTATTTAAAAAATGATGGTGGTCACAGTTTCAAATCTAAATTATTTCGGTGTATGGGAACTACCACCGAGAAAGAATATCCCACTAGGATGATATAACGTGCAGGTCGGCTGGATATTCATGTCGTCGATAGTGCGTACCCTGCAGTTTCGGGTATCCATATAGGCATTGTCGATATACTCACTTTCGCTTTCTGCACCCCTGGACAAATCAAAGGTTCACGATGCACCGCATCACCTTGTGGATGAGACGAGAAGAGTAGTTTGATCCTGGTGTGCCGAGGGTCTGTTTACATTACGTCATCAGAGCTTCCACCGGAAGTAAGACGCCATGAACCCCGTGCTGCATGGTTGGATATTCATTAACCCCAACTCTCTTCCTTCGAGGATACCAAACTGTACGGGCGGCTTTTTCTCCCACACTTCACAGGTACATTCCCGTTTTTGGTAGGGAAAAGATTAATAGAATCTATCACTCCTGTGTGATATAGACAGAGATATCTCAACCAGAGGGTGAGATATTGTTCTAGGTTTAGCACGAGGCTTTGCCGAGTGCTAAACCTAAAAAAAATATCTCATCCCGAGGGTTGAGATATCTCTGTCTAGATCACACAGGAGTGATTGATTATTTTTCTCCCACATTTTTATACCGTAAAAATACCTCCACTACGAAGTTGTATATTTGACCCCAATGCACCGTACCATCATCGAAAATTCGCAACGTCAATAAAAAATAGCATTCATAATTAAATTCAGATATTTAATACATTAATAATATTATCAACGTGATATGGTATATTGACATCTTTTGTTATAAAATTAATCGATAAAGTGTCTTTAACGAAAACACACAGAACTATTTGCACTCGCTGACTTCACGCTTCGAAAAGTTCACTCGGAGTCAGAATACAACACCCTCGGTCGTTTCGTTTTGGGTGCTGACATCGTTGTGTTATTGTTGATAGTAAGTCCGTTTGTACGGTTTCCTTTGAGCGATTGGTCATTGAGAGAAGAGACGACATCCTATGTTTTTGTTTATTGTTCACTGTTCTGTAAAGGTCACCATCAAGGAACAGACAAGGCCGTCGACACAGTCCTTCTAGGACGGGACACAGCTTTTTAGGGTTAAATCTGTCACGGCCAGTCGCGTCGTCATTACAGCTCTGATTCCAGTTCACAGAGCCCTTATAGGGGCTATAGAAACAGGAAGGATAGGTCACACTACTCCAGACGTCGAATTGAACAACGCCATCATGGCCGTGAGGCGAGCGCTAGGTCAAAGTTTTACTTTGATTTTTCTGCTACCTCTAGTTAGTGACTTTTCTGAGGACTACCATGGACATTCATCCAGAAGGGGAAATCCTATGAAATTACCCAAAAATCTGAAGTTCGATGGTAAAACAAATTGGCTGTCATTCAAACAGAAGTTTGACAGTTACAGGAACGTCCTCGAATGGTCAGACAGTCAACGCCGGGATTATCTTGGACATTAGAAGGAAAGGCGTTAGACTACTTCACATTAGTCACAAAGATGGGAAGTTGCCATTCTTTCCGAGAAATAATGCGTAAGCTGGAGACTCGTTTTGGCGCCAAAGAATTAACAGAGACGGCCAGAACAAACTCAGACGAACCCTTAGATGAATGGACAGACAGAGTCATGACTGTAGCAACTCCAGATTTCCGACACCTACCGGAAAAATAAGGCCGTCCTGAAGCTATCGCCAAGTACTGTCAAGGAGCTACAGACAAGGAAGCAGGTAAATATGCCTGTCTAGGCCATCCAAGATCAAAGGAGGATGCGACTCATCGAATGAAGCAATATTAGTATGTCAGTCAAAATGTGGATAATAAAAAGAGTAAGCGACATATGCAGATAGAATGCAAGCGGTACGCAAAATGGCTGGATAAGCAGAAGGCCTAGGAGGGCAAGGAGGCATCAAAAGACTCATACGGCCCAGGACTACGGGCCATGCCCCTGAGCCATCTGCTAAGTCAGGCCCGGTTTCATCATCATTGGAGACTGCTTCCCCTAAGGTTGTATCAACCCCCAGTGAATATTTTGCTGGATTTGTCCACAGCTGATCACAGCCAAACATGTGAACTGATAACGGGTTATGGAGGCTTTTAAGTTGACTGTGCTTCTAGTACCGGTAGGGAGGCTTTTAAGTCTCGCCTCAGAAAGGGAAACAGAATTTGTGCAGGATCTTCACAAGTGAAACTCACAGTAGGCGAGGTACCCATCACCGCCAGAATTGATTCAGGGACTGAAATGACAGGTTCCAAACGAAGCCCCGGAAGTTAAATAATGTTGTTACATTGTATGCATCTAGCGGATACAGAATCATCACTGGAAGGATTTTTAATCCCTCCAGTGTCATTGAAATTCGGCCAAAGTGTGTTCAAGGCAGGTTTGTATGTAGCCCCTGCTGATGAGATGTTGTTAGGGCATGATCTATTACATCATTTGGGTGAAAGGGGGGCTTCTAGCTGACGCCTTTGATGTTCAGGATTTTATAAGTCCTGATATGTCTTATAGACATACAGAAATGGGCGTTGGCTTTACAGATGTATATTTACATTCTGTGTTGCATTTGCCTATTTGTCGTTAGTAAACCAAATTGCAGCATATGAGACTGTATACTACAATTTACAGTGATACGGCCAGTGTAGGAATACAGCTGGTACAAGATAAATAAACATGGCCGCCCGATACTTTCGGTGTCAATTAGTCCGAATTATTCTGACGTTTTAACCATTTTTTTTAAATATCGGTCTGTCGTCGATTAACGTCAGAACTCCAGCCCTCTATAATATTCGGGAAATATGCGACCCGCGCCCGGAGCGCACTTCAAACTGATATTTTAGAAACAAATCGTCACTTTCACACACATGTCGCACATGGATCGAAAGATCTGTTCTTTATGTACAAGATGAACATACATAGCATGCCTCAAACAATCAATACAATCACTAAAAACATTTTTTTCAAACTTACTCTGTTTTACTCTAGTTTTTTGGTAGCCCGCCTTCTAATGTCACGTGACTAAAATCTCGCCGGCTTACGTCATACCGTTGGGAAATACCTTTGGTAACGCGAGATCTCGTCAAGTCATGTGACATTGCTCATGGCCTAATTTTCATTAAAAAAACATGGGTTGGTATAGAAAACATTGGAAAATACTTTTCGTAATGATCTTTGAAACATGTTATTGATATCACCTAGTGTATAATGAATAGATCTTTCGTTCCATGTGCGACATGTGTGTGAAAGTGACGATTTGTTTCTAAAACATCAGTTTGAAGTGCGCTCCGGGCGCGGGTCGCATATTTCCCGCATATTATAGAGGGCCGGAGTTCTGACGTTAATCGACGACAGACCGATATTAAAAAAGTCGATAAAACGTCAGAATAATTCGGACTAGGTATCAATAGGCCTATAGTCGGAAAACATTTTGGGTTCGTTAGCATTTAGCAATATAGGTCATCGCAAAACAAATTAAGCAACTTGACAAATTATGACAATATAAATTTATTATAAGATGTGTAGGTACCACAAAAGTTTTGTAAGCGCCATTTTAGATACGAAATTACCAAGTTTGTTAACGTCATCACACAGGAGATCGGTTTCGAGATTTTGAGTTATGCATAACATCAGTGAATAACCACAACACTAAAATTCAGCATTTCTAAAACCTTGTAAAAGTCGAGGGTATCGACAAGGTTTTAAATGTGTATAAATACCTTTTTAAGTGTTTTGTTTTTTCAGTGATGTAATCCATTACTCAAAATCACGAAACCGAGTCCCTGTGAACGTCGTCTGCTAGCGATGCTAATCTGACTGATTAGACATAGAATCTATTTCAAACGAAATGTCCTTGGAATCGTTATCACCTACTGAAAGGACCACTTTAATTAAACGTTTCCGAGTATATATGCTTCTGAAAATAACGTAATATTCCAGTCGAAGGAAACATAAGTGTTTCCGAGGAAACCAATCAAGTCCGTTCAGCGCCGCATCACTTCAAAATACATGTAATCTATCAATGCGCGAAAAACAGCTTTAATTTTAAACAAGCAGAAGTTATGCAATTATTAACAATTTTTCAACATATACACACTCATATGAAATAAATAATAAAGTTAAGTTTGTGTTCAAACCATTTTATGTGCGTGTGGTTTTCAATGACACGAGGGACTATATTATTTCTTCTGGAAATGTCGGCTGTTCTGGAATTTGAACTTACTGACGTCACTGATATGATAAGCGGGAAATTCAAACGTATTTTTGCTTCAGTTACTATACAAAACAAACTATATACATATAAATGTAAATATAAGCATTGAACTGTTACCAGATGCAGTATACAGTCGATATGAATGCAATTTGGGTGACAGATAAATAGAATGTCGCCGTTAGGGCGACATGAATATTTATCTGTCACCCAAATTGCATTCATATCGACTGTATACTGCATCTGGTAACAGTTCAATGCTTAAATACACAGAGTCTGATACGGTCGCATCTTGTTGCCAAGTCGGACAACCGGAACAACGGTTGAGGGTACCGGAACATCTACATAATTTGGTCATGGATTCCAGTAAGTGAACTTGTTTGTGAATATGAGGATGTGTTTGCGAAGGATGAGTTTGACCTTGGGAATTACATTATAAAGCATCCTGTAGACACAGGTGATGCAAAGCCAATCAAACAGCGCATGCGCAGGACTCCTTCTCTCTAACCCCCGAGCAAAAGAGATAATGCACTACCCGGAAGGAGCTTCTCAGTATTGTGAGATTTACAAGACAGTTTAAATACTACCTACTGGTAGACAGTTTACAGTCATGACAGACCACTCTAGTTTAACTTGGTTACTACGGTTAAAGGACCCACATGGACAGTTGGCACTTTGGATGGAAGAACTTTCGTAATACCATATCATTGTGACTCGCAGGGCGGAGGCCAAACACGGGAATGCTGACGCACTTTCGCGACTACCTGATGAGTTAACCCCATGGCCATACTATGCTGCCGGGATTAGACCCGATAATTTTCCATGTGGAGGCTGTAGTTATTGTCAGCGTGCAGACAAGCAGTGATGCGAGTTTGCTATTGAAGTGGATGACGTTAAGAACCTGACGGACAGTTATCCTCTCTCGGATCAGAGTTTCCAGTCCCGTATGACTGTTGTGGCCACATTGAAGCATAGCCAGCAAGGCCAGGCGGAGGGAGAAAATCCTAGGGAGCTTATAGGTCAGGTGAACTGCCGTAAGGAGCCCGCTGTGGACAGTATGCTTGACCCTCATGCCAGGGGTCGATTTTCCATGAGCGGTTTGAGTTTTCCTGTATACCCTCAAGGTATGCATGCCAGCCAGACCCTATCCTCTCAGTTTGAAGGTCAACCCGACTTGGGAAAACATCAGGTTAGCACGGTTACACAGGTCATTCTTGGCTACGGACACCCTGATTGTGGTAGTCATGACAGCCGGCCGATAATGGAGCAGTCAGTACTGGAGGCTGTGTCTCCAGATTGTTTGTCCACTTTATCAGTGGAACCTAGAGTTGATGGATCAAGTTTCGATATTGAGTTTCAGGACAGCCAGTTTCATGTTAATATGTGTACCGTCCAGTTAGTCCAGGAAGTAACAGCTGCCGCGCCATCTTGTTGGGGGTTTACGTATCGTGAACTTGAGACCGAACAAGGGAAAGATGACGCTTTGCGGTTTATTATCAGATGCCTGACGGACGATACGGAACCTGAGCAAGGGGAATTACACCTTGCTTCCTTGAAACTAAATATAACTGGTTGAACCGGGAGTTGTTTCTCCTTATCGACGGAGTGTTATTTATGAAGAAGGCTGGAAGCAAGGACTTGGCGCTTATAGTTCCACAGTCCCTGAAGGAAAAAGCAATCAAGTGGCATCATGACCTACCCTCAGCTGCCCATTAAGGTATGGCAAAGACTAAGGCGAAATTGAAGGAGAAGTTTGTTGGGGTTCGCCCTGGTACGGACGTGGATGCCTATGTGTCAACGTGAGAAGTTTTCACCCGAAACAAGAAAAACAAACGCTACGGAAGCGTTCACCGAACGGATTATCATGCGGGTGCCCATATGGAACGTGTACACATAGACTTCCTTGGCCCCTTACCTAAAACAGCAAGCGGAAATCAACATTGTTTAATGATTTTGGACTAGTTCACCAAGTGGGTAGAGTGTATTCCTTTGCCTTCAAAAACGGTTGAGGTGACAGCGAAAGCCTTAATTGACGGGTGTTTTACTCTGTTTGGAAATTTTTCCCAGAGAAAACTCTTCGAATCGTTGTGCCGTAATTTACAGATTCACAAGGCCCTTACAACGCCTTACCGCCCATACCGCTCAGATGGACAAGTGGAATGGTTTAACCGAACGCTTATGGACGCCGTACGCAAGTCCTAAAACAAGTGGGATGAGCATGTCAAACAGATTGCGGGAGCTATCAGATCATCCATCAACAGGAGTACCGGATATACGACTAACATGCTCATGCTTGGGAGAGAGGTGAATACGCCAGCACAGTTAATGTTTCCTATACTAATAACAGTATGGATGAGTATGTGTCCAACCTAGTGGATATCCAGAAAGCTCACACCGTCGCCAGAAATACGCAGAAAACATCTCTACGCCTTATGAAGCGTTATTGTGACCTTATAGTCCTACTGAGACCATACGCCGAGGGGGATGTTGTGTATTTGCTGGACTCTGCAGTCGTGAAGGGGAAATGCAAGAAATTGTGTTCTGCCTGGAAAGGTCCTGGAGTAATAATCAAGAGGTTGTCCGCATACCTGTACCAGATCAAACTCTGGAACTCTGTGTTTATCACCAACCATGACAGAATGATGCCATGTAGGAATAGAAAGCTCCCGGCGTGGATCAACACATATAAAACACAAGGGGAAAGGGATTACATGTATATGGATTCGTCTGGTCAGAGCTCGGAAGTCTACTGCATTTGCCGGAAAGCTTGGCAGGTTCGATTTATGGTTCAATGGAACTATTGTCAGGAATGGTATCTCGGATCGTGCGTCCACTTGACTGCTACAGACGCGCTTGAAATAGACAAATACAAATGCAGTAGTTGTAGCAGTAACTTATCATTGCTCTGGTATTTTGCAGGTATGGCATCTGGTCGGGACCAGTCTTTCGCCGACGAGATCTCGCAGCTTATGGAGAGCGATCAGTAGTATCAACCAGCCCGTGAGTTCGTCGAGCGACTTGGATTGGCTCAGGTGTTGGATTCCATGATGAAGGCCTTACTTCTAGCGATATGTGATTTGGCCAAGGGGAATATCAACAAGAAGGAATCACGGAAGTTCCGTCGTGATTCATGGCTCAAGTCTTGCGCGGAGACCCTGAATGTCTGTCAGATGCAATTGCACGATTGGATTTCTGACAACGTCTATCGTATCGGTAGGCCATAGAATATTCAATGTTGACAGGAGTTTTCGAACTAACTGCCGTTTTTTATCGTACACAGGCATTGGTCACTGTTTCGCTGTTCAGTGGGTGTTCAGCTTCTGAACTTGTAGAGGTGACTGGTGACAGGGTACTCTTTACAGCGGCGTGCCTGCGTAAGTAATGGAAAAACAAAGGAATACCGAAGTATAGATAACGCTGTAGCTCTAACTCGATACAGTATCTAAGTTTGGGCAAAAATATCAGAAAAAAATAGACAGACATACTCTTGAAAAAGAATAATATCATGTGTTCTGGAAAAGAAAGTATCGTCTGCTTTGGCTTCGCCTTCCGCCATATAATTCGAGATCAAATCCAAGTAATGATACACCCTCAGAGGGAGAGCTAACGTTAGAGTAGTTACAATGAAACTTTCAAGTGGACATTATTGAGCAAAATCAATATTGATTTTCTATTGATAGCTACCATTAAACTTGACAATGTTGTGGCCTGATATATACCAAAGTCTTTAAAATGGTAGTTGTCATTCCTTCCTTAACGTTCTGCAATTAGGAAAATAGCGACTACTGGTTCACCCGTTGCCAGTTTAATGTTATCGGGCGGAATGCTGTGTTGGTTGCATTCGGCATGGCAAGTTTTTAAGCCCAAAAATTGTTTATAAATTGTCAGATGTGTCCCGTTAACGTGCAAGACGATCAAAGATGTACATGCATGTTACAAATTATCCAAAAGCAAAGTCAGGGGGGAGTTGAAAGGGGGAGTTGAAAGTCCTGGACCCTCTCATCCGGACCCGATGAAAAATATGATGCTGGGCAGCGATTTGGAAGTTTAAATTTGTTCAGGACTGAGTCTTCATTGCGTACCATGTAAATTGACATCATCTAAACCGATACCAGCCATCTTTCTCAAACAGCATTAATCAGTTTATTCAAGCACGGACTTAAATAGCACGGACTTAGATAGATAGCATTCCCTCTAATCTAATTCCATGATTCAAGTTACCGAAAAATTACTATCGAAACTAAGAAAAGTCATGTATTGCAATGTTAATATTTGTTACACACACGCATTTGGAGCTATTCGTATCAGTACGACTTGTGTAACATAAACATACAAGAGTTTAAATTTAAACGTTTAGATTACTTGTAAATTAGTAAAATGTTTAAAGGTGACGAAACTGCCTGCACATTTGAGTAAAACCACGGAAGGCCTGATGACGTCACAAATGTTGCTGCGTGACGTCATTCAGGCGTGTTTACAACATTGCATTTCAGTCAAATCTTCCTGCTGTATATTGGTGCTCGTCGCCATTTTGAAACATGCGCTTTTGGAGGAATAATTAATATAACCGAAACCCTTACTAATGTGACGAATTTGCCTGCACTACTTATATTGAGTTCTGAGTAAGAAAACATAATGTTATTTCTCTATAACATATAAATTTCTGTTTGTGATCATACGATCAGTTATCCTGGATTTCGATATTCTGTTTGATTTACTCAAAAATGCAGTCCAAATATGTTTCCATTATTCGTTGTCGTAAGTCCTGAAATCATTTGCAGTAGGAACGTTTAGTTATCCAAGGGGCATAACTCACACAAAATGTCACGAACTCTTTTATATTAGAGGACATGAACGGTAAATCTCCATAGCGATCACAATAGAAACAAAATGGCGTCGAACGGGGAGACGGAGAAGTACTACCTTGAAAGTATCCTTTTTCATGTTACTTGTGTGGATACATTCCAGATATATCTTATTTATATGTACATTTAATGTCTTTTATATTTCATCGTTACTGTTGTCAATGTCATACGCCGTGTTATGTGTCGGGCTTAGGACATTTAAACAATGAACCCATCGTATTTACCGTTTCACAGTCGACCAACTCTATGTTTAAATTTACAGACATGTTACTGAACACAGATGAGCTGATGCGTTAAAGTTGTATTGGCATCACGCTTTTTTTAAATTAGTGTACGTATATTCTAGAATAAATTCAATGTCGAACATGAAAGCCATTTTGGTCTCTGTGGAGTATAACATAACGTTATAGGCTAGATGTACGGTATTGTGTCATGCACTTGTATTTATATATCGATGCACAAATTAATAAGAAAGACCTTCAAAGTCTTCTTTGCAAAATAACCTTAGAAATGATAAATCTGCACTGAGTGAATCAGATCAAATGTTTTTGGGAATAAACATATTTGTTTACAATTTGATATATACAACCAAATGCTTAGTCACAGTAAAACTTTATTCCTGTAGGAACTCTATCTAAATCAGAGATTTATATCTATCGTTATATTAGTTATAAATCTCTGATTTAGATAGAGTTCCTACAGGAATTAAGTAAAACCATGCATAGATAAGTGTTGGTATAATTTTAGCCTGGAATCAGTATGTAGTATATTGTTTTAACTGGATCTGGGGTGTTTCGCCTTAAATCCCTTAATTGTTCGCACAACAGGTCATTTCACCCGATATCCAGTTCGTCCAAGTTTGTTTCACCTGAATATAAATACATGTTTTAAGTTGCCAATATTAATTCAAATTTATACAATGATTGAAAACTTGATGGTTTCATGAACAATTGTGTTCTTGGGAGAATTTCAGGTGTATATACTATTTGCAGATCTGATCGACCANCGTTTTATCGACTTTTTTCATATCGGTCTGTCGTCGATTAACGACGTTAATCGACGACAGACCGATATGAAAAAAGTCGATAAAACGTCAGAATAATTCCGACTAATCGACCATGTACGAGCCTTCCAAGACCAATGTAAACTTCAAATGAGACTGTTTTAGCCATAAACAACCAAACAGGCCTCAAGAAGTTTCATCCTTAAAATATTTTAGGATGAAACATTCTACCAGGAAACGACCTGGGCGAACATTATTTAGAGCGAGAAGACTTGACAGCATATATATTAAAATAAAGTGCATCCTCTTCAGTAAAAGGATGTATCAAATCTGGTTTCCTTGGTGGCGCATAGTACAGAAATATTATAGATGAAATTTTCTTTTATAATTGTTACGATGATTAATTACAATAGGAATTTATTAGGAATGATGCCTGGAGATGAAGACATTTCTACTTTTTTGTCTACATACATCATAAAATGCAATACATATTACAGCTAAAATGGTCACTTTAGATACAGCAAGTGATTAAGTTTCAATTGAAGCCAATCCCAATGTTCAGTGTAGACAAACTATTCCAAATAGAGGTTAAGTCCAGCAATGAGGGAGGCCATTCAAGACAGAAACTCTACATATATTATGTATAATGTTAATTCAACCACGTTTATTACTGTGTTAATTATTTTTTTAAATCTGTTCACTCACAGGGACATAGCCTTGTCTGTCAATACACCACACCTACTGGTTCACTCACTACAGATATCCAAAACATGTACTGTCTTTTGTAGCAATAGATTTTTTAAAGGCAACTTTTGGTTCTGTTGTGATGAAAAAATCTGCTCATTAATCCGAAAAAAAAATTGCAATACTTACCCATCACTTAAATTGAAATTTTCTCTAATAATCCAGTAATACATGTACTGTTTTTGAGCAATCGATTCACCACAATGATACACATTGTTATTTGAAATCCACTGCCGAGTGATGTCAAATTAAAAATTGATATAGAAAGGTGGCATACCCAAATGATATGTATGACGTAAATCACTTGCATTCATATGGGGATTGAACAGCGTTTTTAAACATTTTCATACTGGTATGAATGCAAATCGGTTACATCCATATTGTATGAAGCCCGCTTGGGCTTCATGTTTAATATGGATGTAACCAATTTTCGTTCATACCGCCATGAAAATTGTTCTTAAATGATTTATTTATTTACTGTGTTTTGTTTATGCGTCATCACAAAAGACCTTGGCGGAACAGCCATATTTTAATCAAATTCGCGACAATAATTAACCATATAGTCATTTGAGTATTTGACATAGGGGCATTCTCCATGTTAACCAAAGCGAAGTGAAAAGACTCTCATTTAACAAGCTAGGTTAATCCATGATGTCATAAGTAAACCATGTGATTCGCATGAGAGCTTTTGCTTTCATACTCAAATGAAATGCATTCTGCTGGTAATGTTCATATATTGGGTTGCAGCACAAATGTAAATATAGTGCTTTCAACAGAACTTCAATTTGTTTGGTTCGTGAAGTGAGGATGCAACACATATGGGTATACATATACCATTTGAGAGCTGGAGATTGGTCCAGGTCAGAGTCATTCATAGTAGATATCAAGGAACTAAGTTTTTATGCATGTTTTAATGCACAATAATGTGATTGTTTATATGTAGTGTTTGGGTTTTAATCCTTAACCCGTAATACAGAGGAGAAAATAGCTGTTGACTCTGATGATGAGTACACGTATGAGGAAGTACCAGTGGACGAAGACTTTCTAGCAGCTGGTAAGATACTTACAAAATTAACAGTAGGTAATGAAGTTTTTAGACATAGAAAACTTTTTAAAAATGTCAACTTGTAAAATTACTACTGAAGGTAAGTTTAATGTCTTCTGAAGGTTGTATTTTCCATAATTACTGTTAGTCAATATGAAGTACTATTTAGTGAGTTGCGAGCAAGCAGGGTACATTGGGATTTGACAGAATTCAGTTCCCTTCTCCTGAAAAGGAAACATACTAAATGTAAAAAAAAAAAAATAAAAAATGAAATGAAACACAGATTATTATTTTGATATTTTAAACTTTGCCCAAATTAGTTTATAGATAGTAATATTATACCTTATTTGAACAAAGTTTCCATATTATATGTTCAGTCATTTTTACTTTGTTTGAAAACATAAAATGTGGAATATAGTGGAATTTTTTCTGCAATACTTTTAAAATTATTGTTGTATTTGATATCAGTTTTTCTGTTTTTATAATGGAAATTATTTGAAGGATAAATATTAAATTAAAAACATAATTATTATGACTCAAAACTTAATCAAAATAAAAATGGAACTCTAAAATTGCTTTTACCCTTCATCTAAAGCTTTTAGGATTAAATTGTTTTCATATAAAATATTAGCTGTCACTCAATACAAATTGCTTTTAATAGAAAGAAGTCACCATTTATCGTGCATGTTTATAAAAATAATAATAAAACTGGATGCAGGCATTATATTTTGCCTACAATGTATGTATCCAGATCACAAAGGTTATCATCCGTTTATATGAAGTCGTCATATTCAGCAACAAAATGTGGAGTGATCCCCAGTAGTAACAATAACATGTATGGTATTCGGAAGTAAACAACACCATTGTATTCATTGTGCTTAGAAATACTTATAATGGGTCAGTTTTTGTACTGATTCTAATGGGGCATTTTGTGTTTCAACAAAAAACAATGATATTAATTGATTTGTGAAAATTTCAATCATTGTCAGATCTCCATGAAGACTTGGACCTAGCAGTGCAAACAATCCAGGATGTGGAAGAGGACAAGCAGGCAGGGGTCAGTTTAACTGATGTGTCTTATAAGTACATGTATCATTTTGGAACTAAATGTAACGTTTGGAAAATTGATTAACTTTACTTGCACATTGCTTCATCATTTCTTTTTCTTTTGTACACATGTTATGCAGATGAAATTATTATCAGAAACTTAACATCGCGAAATATGAATTTGAATTTTTTTTTTTCAAATGACTTTTTCGAACAGTCTTAAATTAAGTTTAACAACAAAAGTAAATCAGGTATCTGCTGTAATCTACTGATGCTATTCTGTCACTCTAATAATTGATTTTTTCCATAGATCAAAAAAGATTCTGCCCCTCGTGCCTCTGTCACCAAACGAGAAGAGGTGGTGGATGACTATGTGCGGAATTTCTTGGTACGAATGGGAATGAACAGGACACTGGATAGCTTCCAGACAGAATGGTATGACAGCTATATATCGCTTGATGTTACATTACACAAAGTGTAATAAGAAATTCAATTACCGTTATAAACACAAGATATCAGATGACATTTCTGATTTAAAATAATATAAAAACAACATAAAACATGTACAAAGATATTGAACAGCATGTCATCAAATGGAATTGTTGAAAAAGTCCTTCACGAGCATTTTGGTTTGTAGACATATATAATTATCTATGTGTTACCTCCCTTGAACAGGTATGAGCTTCAGCAGAGAGGACTTTTACATGAGGAAGATGTTGGTGTGGTACCCGACATTTATCTCCGTAACCAGGACCTGGACAACGAAGTCAAGTTCCTTAAACAGGAGGTCACCAAGTACAGAGAAGCTGCCATGTAGGTACCTCCAAAACAAGTTCAAGGGTTAACTTGAAATCCACACTTTGAAATATCGTACTGTGGGGAGTATCTTAGATATATAATTTCTAAAGTCTACTGCCAAAAAAACACATTTATCTGTCCAGAAGGCAAGAATTATTATTCAAATGACTTTAAAAACGACATTTGTTCTATTTTGAAGGTTTAAAAAAAAGGAATATCTGGAAATGTATTGCCAATTACAATTGCTTATGATTGAAAACTTACACAATACAAATTAACGATGCTATTTTATGATTTGCAATGTTTGTTGAATAATCTGTTCATGATGTGTTTATTTTTCTAGGAAAGCCAAGGAAACCTATGTGAAGCTGAGGAAGGAGAGAGACTACCATAGAATGCACCACAAGCGAGTTGTACAGGAGAAAAACAAGCTCATTAGTGATGTTAAAAGGTAAGTGACAAAAACCAGTAAATCATTTTGCAGTAAGATGAATCACTTGCATATAGCAATATAACATTTTACAGGTTTAGTAACCTATAGATAAATAATAAAAAACACAACTGAAATGTAGCAGACAACAACAAAGGCACTTAAGCCTAGTAGTAATCTTTACGGTTGTGTTGATGTTCTATTTTGGTGTAATAAGACATATTTATTGTCTTTTTGGTAGGGAAACATGATTCTTTTTTCCTCTAGATAAATCACAATTTTTAATTTGGCACCTCTGTGAANCTGTTTTTTCATTTAATCTTTCAAGTCCTCCTTAAATTTTGTATCAAATGTACAGTATTAAAGATGTTAGGCTTTGGATACAGATTATGTCAGGATGATATGGTGCACGGATGGGTTTACTTATTTTAGTTAGGAGGGATATTTAACTCATCTGTAAGTTTGACACATCAAGGTCAAAAACTATTTGTAGTAGATAAAGCATGGTCCAGTTGATCTGTTTGGAAAAGTATTTTACAACACAGTTGAGTTCAATTTACATAACAAATTAAACTGTATTTACAGATTGAAGCGTCACTATGCCCAGTACGAACCAACACTGCAGCAGCTGAAGAAGAAGTATGAAGTTGCCATGAAGGAGAAGATGTTGTCCAAGCTGGAGAAGGATAGAGCTGTGGGCCAGGTCACAGGATTACAGAGCACACTTAAGTCCATGGAGTCTTTTAAAGGTGGCTCAGCCAAGCAAAGCAATGGTACTAACAACACAGCCCTCTATTTCCTACACAACTGGTGTTTAATATTTGATGCAGTGTTCTCCCCTTACAGCCTTTCTCCAACTCCACCCCCAACCCACAAATCCCATCACCACCTCCCCTACCAAAGTCACTTTGTACAGAGGAAGAAGTTTGAATATTATCATTGAAAAAATGAAAACATTTTTCCATACCTTGGTACATTGTATGTTAATATGGAAAAATTCATTTAAATTCAGAATTTTTAAATTTGTCATGTATGAGGTCAGAGGATGTGAAATTTGGGTAATGGAACACGCATTCACCAATTTAATGTTCTGAACTGCATACATTTTAAACCAAGAAAAAGAATTTTCCTCTTTCAAATTGTGTGATAAGGACTAATTTATTTGATTAAAAAAATTGTAATTTATATAATAGCATACTCTGACAGCTCACTGCTGAATGTTAGATATCATCCGAATATGAAATATCATGTCACCCGCATTAAAATGATAATAATCTGGCCATAAGAGGGGCATTATGAAATGTTGGATGAAAGAATTGGGATGAGCTTTTTGAAGTTTATATAGAAGAAAATGAATGTAATGCCCCTAGAAATGACATATGGGTGGTCTTTATACATGTATAAGGTACAGACTTATTGCAGGATAAATGTGTACAGTGGATTTAAATCATATCCTACACAACAGGTTTAGGAGATGCAAGTTGAGGTCAGGATTGGTATGAAATTCTTATTAATGTCATTAGCTAAAGTGTCACTATCTTTGTTAATCACCAACACTTTGTAGGTTTTACTTTGACTATAACATGTTTCATAGATTAGTTGTAAAAGTTCAACCATTTAATAGCTTTCACATTGTCAACTCAAGATCGTGGCTTCTGCCTTTTTAGAACTACCAGTATAGAAATTCCTCATTGCCAATGTTTTTACACATTTTCTCGCATTTGATATGATATTCAGCTAAAAGCTGCCCCTGAAATGTTCATCAAAAGTCCTTAATTTGGATACTGTAGAATCATTGTACAAATCCTGTGTGCCCATATGAAATTACAATATTAACCCCAGCAGGAATAGCAATCTATATGGTGTTAAGTATTAAGTAAATTTTACTTTTTTGATGATGTAGGTAAGATGGGGTCTGGAGAACGACGTAACTGGCATGTTGACGCTGAGGGGCGTGGCCCCACACAGAAAGCCCTGGCCCAGGAGCACAGTCGCACATCACTGCCGGATGTTCAGAATCTTCCTGAGGATTTCAAGCGTCATCCAGAAGTATGTTCCTCAATAATACTGCTTAACCTACATCAGTAAAAATTAAGTATTTCACATCAGAACAACTAAGCGTTGAGTCCCCAAAACATGTGCAGCAGTCACATGCTCCTAATAGTTTGATTATGAATTACAATCCCTCAGTCTCAAAACTGTATTATTACCTTATTTAACTGATGATGTATAATCTGTTGGTTATTTCAGGACTCGGAATTCCCTGCTGACACAGGTGTGAACCCCTTCCTGGCACAGATTAAGGCTCCGACTGGTCATTTGTCCAGGGCTGGAGGATTCCGACTTTCCAACACATTCCAGGCACATTCTCATCCAATCAGCGAGTATGAAAATAATACCTCCCTTAAATCAGTATGAAGCCAGATTTACCTGTTGGTTTAGATTTATATAGAAAATTAACATTGCCAGGTTGTTTGATATTGCATATTGTAACATGTGATTATTAACTTGCAGACATTGCACGTGACCAGGCTTTGGGATCCATATATTAATTGCTAAAAAGCATTTGAAAATATGAACATGTGAAAATATTGACAAAAAAGAAATATATATTTCAGCATGCAACGTTAAACATTGCCAATGTAAAAAATATGCACCTTAAATAGTGTGAAGAGTTGAAATCGTGAAAACATGCAAAATTTTCCAGTACGATGTGAATCAATTTTTTGGTACAAAACTTTAAGTGGAAAGTTATATAATACATGTGTTGCTGCCCACAGTGTTGCCCTACACCCAAGGAAACAGATTCTGGCCACCAGTAGTGATGACCATACATGGAAGATGTGGGCAGTACCGAGCGGTGACATCATCATGACAGGAGAGGGCCACACAGACTGGGTGTCAGGCTGTGATTTCCACCCATCGTAAGTTGTGTAGTTTTCTTTTTAATTGGTAAATGAATAAAAGGATGGGTGCCATAATTTCATATATCACGGTAGCATAACACCAAGGTCTGCAGATAGCCACCAGAAGGCCCAACTTGGCACTCATCCTTTGTGGTGAAATGAAAGAGGTTTAGTTCCAGATGGCTATTTCAAATTTAATCATGTTCATTGAAAGGATTGGAAAAAATATATATAGGGATTTCATTAGCTATCCAATTGAAAAATATTGAAATATTATTGTTTATTTTAACTTTAATTTGTCTATTTTCTCCTGTTTATAGGGGATCTAAACTAGCAACCTCCAGTGGTGATTCTACAGTAAAAATCTGGGACTTCTCCAAGGCTGAATGTGTACATACATTCACAGATCATACACATGCAGGTATACAGCCTTAACTCTTGATAATGAGATTACAAATCATTGTTTCTCAATTAGAAAGCAGATATTGGTCAAATTAAATTTCATTTTATTCAAATATTTTTATTTTACAAGTTTATAAGACTCTTTCATGTCAAGGGATGTGGGATAAAGAAATTGCATCCAAAGGATAAAATTAGGTAAAACACGAGACTCTGCAAAGGGTTTTGCACCAACTTGAAAATCCAAAGTTGGAATTTCCTTATACTACATCCCTGGGCATGAAAGAGTAAATTTTTCTCATTCAAATCATTAGAATTAGCTCATGACATTGGAAGGTCTGATTTTGTGATGTCAAGTCATTGTTGTCCAATATGTGACATCACACATGTGAAAAGGGAGGTAAAATAAAAATGTCTTGCACCCCTGTCTTACACTGGACAGTCCTGTTATAGACTCACAGGAATGAAAGAAAAATGTATTATTTGCTGAAGATTAATTTAGTCTTCATTTTTACATTATCATTCAAATTGATATACATGAAAATTGTACACTGGTTAAATGTACATGTATAATTTTACCTATTCACAATGTAGGTATATTTATGGCACCGCTGATATTTCTACCTGTATTTTTGAATTGTTTATATATATGATGCTGAGGTGTTCATGGTATAGACTTGTTACATATTCCTGTTTTTACCTATTTAAGTTGTAGGTATATTTATATTTACACCTCGTGTTTCTACCTGTACTTTTGAATTGTTTATGATGTTGAGGCGTTCTTGGTATAGAATTGTTATATCTTCCTGTGTTTTACCTAACTACAGTGTGGGGATGTTCTTGGCATACCTGTGGGGACTTCCTCGCTTCCTGTTCTATGGACAACACATCCAAAGTGTGGGATCTTAACAGCCTGAGGTGTCGTTTCACCATGCGGGGCCACGCGGACTCCGTCAATAGTATAGAATTCCTACCCTACTCCAACACACTACTCACATGTTCTGCTGACAAAACTATATCTCTGTGGGACGCAAGAACGGTAACTCGTAAAAACCAAGTCATATTTCATCTGCATTGAAATATAGTAAGCTTTGAAAAGAAGGAAAAATGCTTTGTTTAAAAGAAATCAGTTCAAAGGTGATTCACTGATTCACTGATTCAGTTATTTCTAAAAAAGATCATTTTATAAGAAATGTTAAATCAGAGGACAGATTTGACAATATTCCAACCACTATGTACTGTAGAAGGTGATGTTATTTGACTTTAGGCATTAGATGGATAGAGACACATGTGTCTGCAGTATTTATCAATATGTTTTGCTATCTAGCTTGTGAACACCGGTAAAAGAAGCAACTTGCTTTTGATCCCTACACAGTATTTAAGAAAATTGCTGTATGCAAATATGCACATATTTGTTCAGATATTGAGGTGTCCCTTATGTTCAAGATATTGTTTGACTGATTCTACAATCTCATTTATTAATTGTTTAATTGCAATTTTAAAATGAAGATAGAAGTAACTTATGTTGAAGAGAAAGTTCTGTTGATAGTCTGTTTAATTATTTAGAAATAAGGAATATATTTTTGTAACCCCCCCCCCCACCATCACCACCACCACCACCACTTTTTTTTAAAAACGAGAATAGCATGACTCAAAGCATTGTCGTGATTTATCTGAGTTGATATTTAACAATGCCTGATTTCCTTTTACAGGGACTTTGTGCGCAGACATTCTACGGGCACATGCATTCTGTGAACTATGCTTCATTCAACCTCCGAGTAAGTAGCTCACTGATGTTTGTGTTGTAAAGTTACCTACAATAGGTATTGAGTGTAGACATCATCATGTTGTGTGTATGGATTTCAGATTTAATTGGTAACACAGATACATGATCCATCAAGCCTTGGTTTGTACTGTAAGATGTGTTAAGCTTAAGTCCATGAAACAAACTTTAAGATAAGTGGGATATTTAAGATAGCTGAGTTAAATGTATTCAAGAAGTTAAAAATGATTTTGAAATAATTGTTGACATTTTAATTGTATTTTATGTCGTAGTAATGAAGCTTGATGGTATATATGTTGTTGATGAATATTCCTTCCGACTTTTACATAGTAACTACTATCAAAAAAGTATGTAAACACGTTAATGACATCACATTGGTTATTATTAAGACAGTGATTATGAATATTCTATTATGCTTGTAGAGATAAGTTATTAAGATATATTAATGATTATTGATGATTTGTTGTGTTACAGGGAGATACAGTGGGTTCATGTGATTCTTATGGTATTGTAAAATTATGGGATATTCGTGCTGTTGCTCCAATGGTCAGCTTTGATACTGGACCCCACCCGGCCAACAGAGTATCTTTTGACCCCTCAGGTATGTATAAGTAACTGTCTCAGCACATTGTTAAGACTGAAGTATCTTAGAGACCATATCACCTATCACATTAAAACGAATGTGTTACCAGAAATAGTTGGTAATTTAAGTTATCAAGGATTACCCTATCAACCATACAGCTATGATTGCTATACAACTAATTAATATCCTAAACATGATATATAATGAGACCAACAGTTAGTTAGGATTGATGTTTAATAACGAAAGACTAGCCTTAAGGTTTATTAAGCTGTGTTGTTCATTATTTTTCAGAATTTATATACACACATGTGATGATTACAAGTATCTGACTGTGGCCGTTCTCTTTGTAGGTTCAGTTATGGCCGTGGCAAGCAATGACAGCACCGTCAAGATGTATGAAATCTCCAATGGCAGAGTAAGTATGAAGTCATCTATATTTTCACTTTTACAAACCTTATGAAATTGTTTCCAAACTCTTTTGTTTCAATAACCATATTTTTTCAGTAATCCTTTTTAAGGTGCTATATTTTGTCATTTGATCATTGCAATTATAAAGGAGTGATAAAAAGGATATTAAAATTCCAAGATATTGAGAAACATTTCTGTATTTGCATGTTGAAAATTGAGCCTACTGAACAAATGCACCTGGTGGTCTGTAAAACCCTAGATTACGAAAAAAAAAAAAAAAAAAAAAAAAAAACACACAAATAAGGATAATGTTATACTGATGATGGCTATAATTGGTGTTTGGTGATGGCTATTATTGCTGATGGCACCTGAGATTTAGCTCAAGTGACTGACCTATTGCTATCCGTCTTTGTCCTTCGTCGTGCGTCTTCCGTTAACATTTTGCATTTTCAACTTAAGCTGAAATACTGTCAAAGGAATTTCATTCATATTTCATGGCAATGTTACTGACATCTCCTTGACCAAGTGTTGTTATTTTTCGGGTCAATCAGAAATCCAATATGGCCTCCACAGCAGCTGTTTTGAAAAACTATTTCAAACTTAAAGTCAAGTTCCACTAGGCTGATTTAACTGAAACTTGGTAGGAATGATCAACTCATCGTCCTGACAAAGTGTTGTTATTTTTTTGGTCGATCAGAAATATAATATGGCCGCGGCAGCCATTTTGAAAAACTATTTCAAACTTAAAGTCAAGTTCTACTGGACCGATTTAACTGAAACTTCGTAAGAATGATTGACTCATAGTCCTGACAAAGTTTTGTTATATTTTGGGTCGATCAAAAATTCAATATGGCCACCACATCAGCCATTTTGAAAAAAAGCTGTTTCAAACTTAAAATCAAGTTCTACTAGGCCGATATAACTGAAACTCGGTCTAGGAATGATCAACTCATAGTCCTGACAAACTTAACTTATCGTTATTCTTAACTATTTTTTACTCAAATTGGTAGGGATGATTGACATCATTATCTCCACTTCATATTTCAACAACAAAAATAAACACTGTAGGACTCAGGTGACCGTTAAGGCCCATGGGCCTCTTGTTATACTTATGTACACATGTAGCGAGGGTGCTTTAAAGCTAATTTTAATTTTTGCCAAACTGATGTCCATGAATTATATAGAAATGTTTTGATATTAGATTACAGAATAATTGCTGAATAGTTACATTCTCATATTTCACTGCTGAAATTGTTCAAGGATTTAAAACCGAATAATGTAGGAAAACTCTGTGGAATTATATTTTTGAAATTAATCAGTGACAGGAAATATATTCTTATCCAAGACAATAAGTGTAATTTGTCATTAGTTGCAGGTCTTTTTTGTTATATGTATTAAATATACTGCTACTCCTATGTCAAACACGAGCTAAAACAGAAACTAAATGAAGCCACATCATTTGCGTTATAAATGCATCAAACATGGATGTTTTTTACAATCATGATTTATTTCATTCTGTTTAATTTCTTACACATTTGTTTCTTTAGGTGAGTCCTCTGATCGGACATGAGGATGCTGTCCAGTGTCTGATCTTTGACCGCAGTGGAGAGTACATGGTGTCCGGAGGAAGTGACTGTACGGTCAGAATCTGGTCCTAGGCTGACCAGAAAATCTGGCTCATTAACATTTTATAAATAAAACTGTGAAGGACATTTTAAATGTAGGTCAAAAGCGTCATTTCTTTGATGCTCGTCAACTTGTTTGTCATCTTCTGTCAGATAATACCATTAAAGTTGGACTTAATGTACAATTATTACTGTTCATTATAAGTATACTAAGAGAAGGTTAATGAAGAAGGGGATATTTTTTGGACTGCTGATATTTTGACATGGATCAATTAATCTACATGCGGATATCCGAGAAAGCCGAAACAAACCAACATACAAATATTGTACAACTTGTTCCGTGTAGACAAGTAGAGTGGAGGATGAGCAGTAGATACCACATCACCAATGGTTATAGTGGTACATGGACTATAGGTTCGACCCACAAACGTATCAACTTGGAGTCATCAAAAATATAAATTTGAAATCAGAAATAAGAATTGAATAAGCTTTTATGTTAGAAATATTTGTCAGTAGTTGTATGTGTCTGTAGAACATACTTGTAAATTATATTGCATCAGACATATACAGTGCTTTTGTTTAATTATTAAGATACCATTGATAATGTGATATTTTGAAAGTTCCTTATAAATTTTTGTAAAGAATGTTGAAAACTGTGTTTCTTATATTATTACATCAATTCAATAGTAAAAATGTGAACATTATCTAGAAAACTTCGGACTATTCAAGAGGAATTAGTCATTCCTGCCAAATTCTCAATGAAATCAGGGTTGTAGATAGTTAAAATGCAGATCAAGCAATTCAAAGTCAGCAAAGCATGTGGTGTAGCATTAATACTACTGAAGTTCGCCTGTCAATAGTAACTAGCCAGTCTATTCTGAGGAGTAGTTTAGCATTTCAAGTTTATAAAAAATGTGATTTTTAAACAATTTCAATATTGGGACATGCAGTGCAAATGCAGTAGATTTTAAAACTTAAAAAATTGTGCAAGTCATGGAGGTCATCTGCAGGTTGACCTTTACAAATGCAGGTAAATTGGCAGGTGTGATACATTATTTCCAACGTTTTCATGAGATGATGGTGCCCAGAGTAACAGAGCATTTATTTTCAAAAGTACAAACTACACTTTATGTATTTTCTGTAAAGATCTTAAACATAATTCTAAATCATAATCCAAGATGTACAACTTAATATTGGAAAAGATCATTCTAATATTATCTAATGACTGAAACACTGTTTTAAATGTTTAAAAAAAAATGTTTCATCAGTTATATATCTATATTGGACGCATTCTAAAGCATATGCATATCCTTTACAGAAGTATTCAAAGCAGGTATGTATAAGTCTTAAAAAAAATCCTTTAATGCTATTATTGGTTCCGCGGTGGCCAAGTGTATCAATTCTGCTACCACTAGCCCTCCATCGCTGGGTCGCGGGTTCAAAACCTACGTGGGGCAGTCGCCAGGTACTGGCCGTAGGTCGGTGGTTTTTCTCCGGAACTCCGGCTTTCCTCCACCACCAAAACCTGGCACGTCCTTAAATGACCATATAAACCAGAACTGTAAGGTAAAGGCTAATACCCCACCCCCAGCTCCTGTATAAACCATAACTGTAGGGTAAAGGCTAATACCCCACACAATCAAACAATTGTTCATGTGATAGACCGAATATAGTTGATCGAATGACTATTTTTCTATATATACAGGTATCTCTTCCCATCCCCTGAGCCCAGTGACACTAATTGAATTGGCCTATCAATATTAATTTACAGTCCATACCATTGTGAATCTGCCCTGAGCTACGTTACTGGAGCTCTTACCTATAGGGAAAATACATCAAGTGTGAAACTGTAGACACATAAACAAATGTCATTAGTTTAATTGTTAAAAAATGCATTCATTCAATGCAGAATACCAGTTAAATGTTTTGACGGAACTGACATCAATTTAACAGTTGTTTGAAATTCATCTTTCATGTTTTAACGAGAAAATGTTTTCAAATCAACTCCGGAAAAATAAGCAAATTACACTAATTGTTAGGGTATTTCGAACAAACCCATTTATAAAAAGAAACAAAATCCAATTTGACGCTCGAGACATTACGGCTGAGGTCTTTGATCTGATGTGAAAATCAATAGCAGATATCAAGTCATAATGAAACCGACGTTAAGGTGGGTCCATGCATCCTTTTGGAAAAACCCATGTCATTTTTTTCTAATTAGGCTTATTTTCTTGCATGTTTTACGTAGATTCCATATATGAAAAGAAAAAAGGGGGTTCTCGACTTACCTTTTGAGATATATCAGCAGTAAGGTAGCTACTTTTCTGCAAATTTCCCCCAAAATATGAAAATTAAGTAAAATTTGTTTTCTATAATATTTGCAAAATTTGAGTTACCACAAAGTTGAATATCTTTTACACATCTCGTGATGAACTATCAAAAGCAGAAATAAAACAAAAATGATTATATTTGGTATATTTATGCATTTTTCATGGCCATCTATAATTCTCTTCAAAATGTAATTTTAACAAATTTACATCAAACGAATGCATTAAAAACAAGCAAAAATGCGATCAAAACCCATGTCAATTTTATAAAACTTTTACAGAAGACAGCCAAGTATATATGATTTTCGGTAAGCATAAAAAAATGTGGGGTTCCCGGTGAAAATTTTGCAATTTTGCTCACTTGAAGTTAGAACGCCATTCCCTCACCCCATTTTGCCTATTCCTATTTTAATGCGTAAAGGGCAAAATTATGTCATATTATTATCCATACCGTCAAAAATATAATACTTTATCGTGTCCCAACACTTATATTTGATATACATAAAAATCAAATAGCATTAATGCTCGGAACTTAAATAAAAATCAATATTTCGAAGTTCCGATTCGTATTCCGGATCCATATATCTTTGGACCGCCTCCGGGTCCGGTTTTATACACGAAATTATATTTCCGTACACAATGCTAGCGCACCATTCCAAACGTGTTGTGCTTGATTTCACTGTTTGTTGTGTAGTTCCTGTATATGCGGTCGGTATATAGAATTAAAATTGAACAAATATTTGCTACCATTACCTTGTCTACATCTAATTATTGCTGTATATTTATCGTAAAATAGACAATAGTACGAGCGGAATATGTCGTTTCCGCGATACAGGTTTCCGGAACTAAAAATAAGCTTCGCAAATTATTTTGGTCATATGTCTTACACTTTTTGTATACACTGAGCATTAAATACTTCTGACATTCAAAATGTTTTAAAAGCTGATTTTAATATATGACAATTCAATGTATAGATGTAAACAATTACATATGTTAGACATATTACTGTTACACTGT